TAGGGGAACAAGAGAGCCCTCAGGATAAAACAGGGCAAAGCGACACCCTCCTCAAATGTATGTACACAAATGCACGCAGCCTGAGAAACGCTGTGACATCATTGGAATAACTGAGACATGGTGGGACAGCTCATATGACTGGAGTGCTGCAATGGATGGATACAAGCTCTTCAGGAAAGATAGGCAAGGAAAATGGGGGGGGCTCTATGTGAAGGAGCAGCACAGATATAAGTTCTTATATGGGACAGATGACAGCCTGGTTGAGAGCTTGTGGGCCAGGATCAGAGGAGAGGCCAGGAAAGGTGACCTTGTGGTGGGAGTTTGTTACAGATCACCCGATCAGGATGAGGAAGTGGATGAAGCCTTATTTAAAAAACTCAAGGAATTCTCCGGATCATAGACCCTAGTTCTCAAGGGAGACTTGAACATCCCTAACATCTGCTGGAAGGGCAACATGGCGGGATGCAAACAGTCAAGAAGATCTCTGGAGGGTGTCAAAGAATACTTCTTGGTACAGGTATTGGATGGGCCAACCAAGGGCGACGCACAGCTGGATCTGCTACTCACAAACAAGGAAGAACTGGTTGGGGATGTGGTAATCAATGGCAGCCTTGGCTGTAGTGACCATGAAATAGGGGAGCTCAAGATCCTGAGGGGAGTGAGGAAGGAGAGTAGCACACAACAGACCCTGGACTTCAGGAGAGCAGATTTTGGCTTATTCAGGAAACGGATAGGTGGGATCCTGTGGGAGGCAGCCCAAAGGGCAAAGAAACTCAGGAAAGCTGGCAGGTCTTTAAAGACAGCCTCCTCCAAGCACAAGAATGAGCCATCCTGATACTCAGGAAAACAAGTAGACATATCAGGAGACTGACTTGGCTAAGCAAGAAACTCTTGGCAGAGCTCCAATGAAACAAGGCAGCATACAGGAGGTGGAAGCAGGGACAGACTACAAAGGAGGAATTTAGAAACATTGCCTTGGCATGAAGGGATGGTGTCAGGAAAGCCAAAGCTCAACTGGAGCTGAGACTTGCAAGGGACATCAAGGGCAACAAGAAGACCTTCTACCACTACATTAATAGTAAAAGGCTGAACAAGGAAAATGGGGACCCATTGCTGAATGGAGCAGGTGATCTAGTGACAGTGGACACAGATAAGGCTGAGGTACTCAATGCCTTCTTGGCCTCAGTCTCCACCAACAAGGAGGCCTCTGTGCTTAGAGAAAGGGTTCAAACAAGAGGAAAACTACCAGCAGCGAATGAGGATCAAGTTAGAGATTGCTTGAGAGAACTCAACCCATATAAGTCCATGGGACCAGATGGGCTGCTTCCAAGGGTGCTGAGAGAACTGACTGACATCATAGAAAGGCCATTCTCTATCATCTTTGAAAGGTTGTGGAGATCAGGGGAGGTCCCTGACAACTGGAGAAAGGCAAACACTGCACCCATTTTAAGAAAGGGCAAGAAAGACATTCTGGGGAACTACAGGCTGGTCAGCCTCACTTCAGTCCCTGGGAAAATTATGCAGCAAGTCCTCTTGGAACACCTTTCTGGGCACATGAAGGAGGAGGTCATTGGGAACAGTCAGCATGGATTTACTGAGGGTAAATCATGCCTGACCAACCTGATTGCTTTCTATGATAAAATGACTGGATTTGTGGATGAAGGGAGAGCAGTGGATGTCATTTCCCTCAACTTCAGCAAGGCTTTTAAAACTGTCTTCTACAGTATTCTTGTATCCAAGTTAGGATGTTACAGTTTGCATGGGTGGACAACTAGATGGATAGAAAATTGGTTGGATGATTGTTTAACATCTTAATCAGTAACCTGGAGGAGGCAACAGAGCACACTCTCATCAAGTTTGCAGATGACACCAAATCGAAGGGATCAGTCAACATGCTCAAGGACAGGGCTGCCATCCAGAGGGTCCTCAACATGCTGGAGGAACGGGCCAACAGGAACCTCATGAAATACAACAAGGACAAATGCCAAGTCCTGCACCTGGGAAGGAAGAACCCCTGGCAACAATACAGGCTGGGCATTGACTGGCTGGGGAGCAGCTCTGCTGAAAAGGCCCTGGGGGTCTTGGTAGACAGCAAGCTGAACATGAGCTAGCAGTGTGCCCTGGAAGCAGAGAAGGCCAACAGCATCCCAAGTTCTATCAACAGGAGTGTAGCCAGTAGATCAAGGGGCATGATTATCCCCCTCTACTCAGTACTCGTTAGACCACATCTAGAATACTGCACCCAGTGTTGGGCCCTCCAGTACAAGATAAACATCGATAAACTGGAGCAAGTCCAGTGGAGGGCTACCAAGATGGTCAGGGGGCTGGAGCCCTATGAGGAGAGCTTTTATAGCATTTTATAGCATTTAAAATTTCACCTAGCTAGTTTGAAGTTCACAACTGCAGCTGAAATGAAAATCACTTGAATCACTTTACATCCCTTGAAAGAATAAAAATTGTATGGTGCATTTTACAAATCAGAAATATGTTGCAAAGAAAGTACAGACAACATTACACTCACCTGTTCAAGAGTAGCAGCAAAACCCTGTCTGTCTGCTACATAAGGCAATCCATGGACCAAGCCTACTTTTTCAGTCATCTGATTGGCCATATCTGTCAGCGTGTCTGGTATTACTAAATGACAAATGCAAAAATGACAGTTCATTAAACCATTTTATTAGTAGTAGAAGGTCACTATATAAAAATACTGAGCTTCACAGTCTACTTCTAATATAGAGTGTGAACATTTTGGTGTCATTATTTCAGTAAAAAAAAATATGTTGGCAGTCTGGTCAACAGCTTGCAGATTTAAAACAGTATAATTTTTTAAAGTCAGATTGTTTATAATCTCAAGTTTAAGATGTAAGTATTTCACAAAAGTATTTTTAAAAGATTGTTTGCTTTCATTTTTGTTTCCATTCTCAGTCCTTCAAGAACTGCTTCTCTGCAGGTAGTAAGAATGTAGTAATTTCTTACTTAAAAAGAAAGCAACATAACATTCAGCATGTTACATCACACACTTACCTCTGATTCCACTATCACAAATCCATATGAGATCATATTTGGCAGCTTCATATCCTGGCATTAAGTTATTAATCTTGGGGTTAATACCAACCTTCTTACCACCTTAAAATTGAAAACATCATACACAAATAATGCATAAATTTTTAGAATTTAGATTCTATGTTCCAAATATTTAAGTATGCACATTGCTAACATACATTTAATACCTTTCAGTTCTGAAAAATCTGCTTCCCTTTGTGAAAAAGAAGATTTTAACGGAAAATATTCTTCCACTTAATTATTATAGAATTTACTACAATGATACAAAGATTTTGTACAGAAAAAAAACAAAACAAAGAGATTCCTCAAAACAGTAGCATAGCAAGGTTAATGTAATTAAAAGGCCATTAGAGCTTAAAAGCTTGTAACTACATTCTGCAAGGTAAGCATTCTCTACCTCTATATTTGATAGTTCAACTGATTATGCAATTATGGTTTTGGGTAATATTTTTTTGTGTCTGGAGGAAGAAGGGGAAAAGGAAAGGAGTAGAATAAAATGAGACATGTCCTTTTGCTACTGACTGACTGCCAGATATCACTCAGCTTTGTTCAGAATCAATCAGGGAGAAGAAATATAGATTCTGGGCACCAAATATTTGTTCCCTCCTCTAAAGCTATATATAAATTGGATAAGAACTGTTCTATAGCCTATAAGCTCAGAGAAAGAGGACTGTTGCAGCAAATCAAGCTCAAATACAGCCACAACTCTAAGTCACTTTCTAGATATTCAGTTCATCACTAAGACAGGATCTAATTCAAACTGCAGTATTCCAGATTTAGAAGGAACAAGTCAGGATTGAAGGACTGGCAAATGTTCTTTGCATGAATTCTTCCTTAAGGGTTTTTTTTCTTTTTAAACTCATGTCACAGATCCAAAAATGCCAACTTACTCTCTTCATCACATCTATCAGACAATCAACCTAGAAAACCAGCATCTGCAGACCAAAATGGCTATCCATTTTAGAATACTGCATATGTAACTGATGGACCCTGTAAAACCATTTTATAAGTAAGCATTCCACAATTCACTACTCACCTATGAACAGTCTAGCATCAACATTTGGGTATTTGCCAAGGAGCTTTTTGCACACTTCAATAGCTGGATCATCATGATCTTGTACACAGAGCAGTACTTCATACTATTTAAAATCAATAAATAAATTATACACAAATATGGTTTAAAACTAAACATTTACAGTCTAATAAAGTGAAAATAAAAGGCATGGTTACAGAAAAAAAGAAAATTATTGGCTTTGTTTTAGATCTATTATCATTATCAGTAAAGAATAATTTTGCTTAAAATATATAACCAAGTACTTCTGGAAAGCACCAAGACTCTTTGTCCTGAAAAACTCTTTGTTATTGAAGGAACATTAATTTTCCAGTTATTGGAAAATGTTTGTTTTATGCATGAAACAAAGCATCCTGATACAGAGAAGCTGAAAGTTTCATTCGTACTTCCATTTTTGTATACAGATCTACATCTTAAATATAAGTTTATTTTCAATTAAACTGCAATACACGAAATATTAAAGGAATGAGGGTGCAAATTTTCAAAAGCATTACGATGTATGGCAAACAAAAAAGCCCAGATGCTTAGACAACTATATCTCACCTTTCAGGGGAAAAATATATACATCTTTCAACTCTCAAAATGCAATTCGCAAAAACTGTGGTGGACTTCAATCTTCAATCCAGTAGAACTTGTCATATTCCAAATGCTTGCATGACAAAACAAGACAGATTCAAAAAAAGGAATTCACATGGATAGGATTCTTCTCATAGCCTTAAGACAGGACTCCAAATGATGTTCATGTGAACTTTACTGTCTACCTGCCTGCATCTCCCTGAACTAGATCATCCTTTTCTGTACTTCATAGATGCATACACAGAGCAGAGTTGGAAAACATCCCTTTGAGACTAGCAAGGATATGCACCAAATTATATTATACATCTAAGCTCAGAATATGTGCCTCATATAATGATGTATATGCATTCTCCTCAGGGAGAGAGAATATCAGTAAGAGATGAGCAAGAGATAAAGGAATAGGAGAACCGAGGCTGTTTCAGGAATTAAGCTGAATGCTTATTACAAATTAGCTACAGGTAGTGGGTGAGGAAATATGGTATTTTAAGAAGCATTCATAACTTAATATTTGTGAATATAGCACCAGCTAGAGCAACTAGCCTTGGCGCATCAGAGGCCTTCACCCAGGTGGAGCCCTAGAGAGAAGATGCTGCTGTCCAGGTCTTGGGCTGCAGAGAGTGCCTGGTGCTTATCCCTGCAGCTGGGACTGAGGGGGTGACTGTGGTCTCACCTGTGGGAGGTGTGCTCTGGTTGAGGTATTGAGTCCCAGGTGAAGGAGCTGTGGGAGGAGATGAACAGACTGTGTAGCATCAGGAAAAGCAAATAGGAGATTTGCACAGGTCTTTGCACAGACCCTGCAAAGGCAAGATCCTGAGCCCTGTGATGCAAGGAAGGAGGGATAGGTAGAGACTAACCTCAAAAGAGCAGTGGATGGAAACTCCCAAGATGGGAGAGGCTGGAAACTTGTGACTTCTGGCAGCAGGAAGAAAACTCCTTCTCTGCCTGCAGACCTGCAGTTACAGAACAGATATAGTGCCCTGGAATCAGGTGAGGAGGAACAAGCTCTGTCAGGGGAGTCATCAGAGCCAGCTGATCCTGAACCAAGTGCTTGCATGAAGAGGAAAGGGTGGGTGATAGTGGTTGGAGTCTCCTCCTACGGGAGACAGAGAAACTCATCTCCCAAACTGACTTGATGTCTTAGGAGGTTTGTTGCTCGCGTATGAGACATTGAGGAGAGACTGCCAAGGCTTGTCTGGCCCTCAGACAATTACCCCTTGCTGCTCATCCACGTGAGCACCAGTGATATTGCCAGGGGTGACTCTGAGTATCAAGAGCAACTACAGGGCTCTGGGGCTGAGAGTGAAGGGCATGGGGGCCCAGGCAGTGTTCTCAATCCTGCCAATGAAAGGCTTTGGTAGGAGTGAGCGCGTCCAGCAGGTCAACACCTGGCTGCGTGGCTGGTGTTGCAGGCAGGGCTTTGGCTTCTACAAGCACAGGACCCTCTTTGAGTAACAAGGACTGCTGGGAAGAGGTGGGATCTATCTGACGAAGTGGGGCAAGAGCACCTTCACCAACAGGCTTCCTAACCTAGTGAGGAGGGCTTTAAACTAAGTATGCCAGGGAAGGGTTACCAAAATTTCAAGGCACGGGGCAGGGGGAGGGAACAGTAAGGAAGTGTCCAGGGGACAGCACGATGGGGAAGGCTCTTGCACTTCCCCTGTGAAAGCAGCACGACTGGGGGTCCACAAAGGCACACAGCATGGGAAAGAAACAGGAAGAGTTAGGAGTCCACCAACATGGGTAATCCCATCATGCTGGGTATTTGCTACAGATCACCTGATCAAGGGTGATTAGATGAAGCCTTCTTTAGGCAACTGGAAGAAGCTTAATGATCATAGGTCTGGTACTCATGGCACTAAAGTGACAACCCTGAACTTCAGGAGAGATGATTTCAGCTTGTTCAGGGATCTGCTTGGTAGAATACCATGGGAGACTGCCCTGGAGGACAAAGAGGCTCAGGAGAACTGGGTGATCTTCAAGGACAACCTCCTCAGAGCACAAGAATGGCCCATTCCAACATGCAGGAAGTTGAGCAGGTGTGGCAGAAAGCCAGCATGGATGAGCAGGGAACTCCTGACTAAATTCAAATGCAAAAAGGAAGTACAGAGGTGGAAGCAGGGATGGGCTCCCTGGGAGTAATATAGAGACATTTCCCAAGCATGCAGGGATTGAGTTAGGAAAGCTGAAGATCAGCTGGAGTTAGAACTAGCGAGGGATGCAAAGGGCAAGAAGAAGGGCTTAAGTACATTGGCAGCAAAAGAAAGCCTAAGGAAAATGTGGGCCCATCACTCAGTGGAACAGGGAACCTAGTGACAAGGGACATGAAAATGGCCATGGTACTCAATGACTTTTTTGCCTTGGTTTTATCCAGTAGGATTGGCCCTCAGGCCTCCCAGGTCCCTAAGTCTACTAGAGGAGTCTGGGGGAGTGAAGCAGTACCTACAGTAGAGGAAAACCAAGTTAGAGAGAGTTTAAGCCAATTGGACGTACACAAGTCTACAGGACCAGATGGGATGCACCCAAGGGTGCTGAGGGAACTAGGCATTGACATTGCAAGGCCGCTGCCTATCGTCTTTGAAAGGTCATGGCAATCGGGGAGGTTCCTGGTGACTGGAAAAAGGCAGATCTCACACCCATCTTCAAGAAGGGCAAGAAGGAAGATCCAGGAAACTACAAGCTAGTCAGCCTCACCTCAGTCCCTGGGAAGGTTATGGAGCAAATCCTACTAGAAGCCATTTCCCAGCACATGAAGGACAAGAAGGTGATTGGAAACAGCCAGCATGGATTTACCAAAGGCAAATCATGCCTGGTCAACGTGATAACTTTCAATGATTAGATACTGGCTGTATGGACAAGGGAAGAGTAGTGAATGTTGTTTAGCTGGACATTAGCAAGACCTTTGACACGGTCTCCCATAGTATCCTTATAGCCAAATTAGTAAGGTATGGATTGGATAGGTGGATGATAAGGTGGGTGGAAAATTGGCTGGACAAGAGTTGTGATCAGCAGTATAAAGTCCAACTGGGGGCTATTTATTAGTGGTGCATCTCTGGAGTAGATAATGGTGCTGATACTGTTTAATGTCTTAATTAAGTATCTGGATGATGGGACAGAGTGCACTTTTGGCAAGTTTGTGGACAGTATCAAATTTGGAGGAGTGCTTGATACACTGGAGGATAGGGCTGCTATTCAAAGGTACCTTGACAGGCTGGAAAAATAGGCTGACAGGAACCTCAAAGGCAAATGTGAAGTCCTGATTTGGGGATGGAATAACCCCCAAGCTGCTAGAAAGCAGCTTTGCAGAAAAGGACCTGGGGGTTCTGGTAGACAAGAAGTTGAACGTAAGTCAGTAGTATACCCTTGCAGCAAAGAAGGCCAATGCCATCCTGGGCTGTATTAGCAAGAGTGGAGCTAGCAGGGTGAGGGAAATGATTCTTCCTCTCTACTCAGCACTTGTGAAACTGCATCTAGAGTACTGTGTGCAGTTTTGGGCTCCCCAGTACAAGAAAGACATGGACACACTGGAGCGAGTCCAGCAGAGGCCACCTACATGATCGAGGGTTGGAGTACACAACATATGAGGAGAGGTTGAGAGAGCTGGGTTTACTCAGCCTTAAGAAGAGAAGGCAAAGGGGAAATCTTATTGCTGACTATAACTACCTAATGGGAGGGTGTAAAGACTGAACCAGACTTCTTGGAGGTGCACAGTGATAGGATGAGAGGCAGTGGACACAAGTTGGAACATGGCAAATCCCGACTAGATATAAGGAGAAAATTTTTCCCTGTGAAGGTGGTCAAACGCTGGCACAGGGGTGTGGGATCTGTGCACAGAGAGGGTGTGAGATCTCCATCTTTGGAGATATTCCCACCTCAGCTGGAAATGGCCCTGAGCAACCTGATGTAGCTGACTGTTTTGAGCAGGAGTTTGGGCTAGAGATCTCCAGAGGTCCCTTCCATCCTAAATTGTTCTGTGATTTTAAGAGAGCATTCCAAATCTTGGAAATCAGTGTTTTTGGTTCTGCATTAGCCACAGATTCCTTCAATTTTTCCTCACTTGATATAGTCTTCCCTTCTCCCCATTAAAATTGCTCAATTGTTGGAGTAATTTTTTGGGACGGAGCTCTAATAATACTCATGAAGTTTAGATTTCAGACCAAAATAACTTGAAGCCATTTTTACAGACCAAGAGTTAAAAATTCAGTTCCACTAACAAATTATATTACTATCTGACATGAGATTCACCAATTCCAAATGAAGTCATAACTAACAACACATACAGATGTCTTATTCTCCCTCACCCCCTTATACCACTCAGCTGAACTTTATTTTCAGAAATTTTCAAAAAAAAAATCTTGAATTTGAAAGCTTCCTGTGAACTGGATTAAGACAAACAATTTCTGATGTAATACATAATATATACTTGTCCTGTAAGAACTATTTAATACAGTAATAGAAGACATTTATTTGAATAAACTATTTTCTTTGAAGAGAAGTTAGCATTGTTAGAGACAAAAACCCACTACTACCCAAAGATTTATCTAGCAGTCTTAACATATTCTGGAAAGATTTATTTTTGTACTCCCCTGGAAAATAGAACTAAAAAGGTTAAAAAAAATTAAGACACTCATTAAGAAAAAAGGTCTTTCCAGTATTGCAGATTAATCCTGACAGCATAAACATCAGGGGTATTAAAACAAACTGAGAAAATGAGTGCATTTCTAGTAAATACATTTAAAACTTTTATTACTAACCCAAATTAAATATTTAAAATAATAGATATTTTTGCTAACAATTCAAAAATCAATCTTCAATCCAGAGTTGAAAGAAGTTCTCAGTGCACATTTCCATATTCTCTGAAAGATTCAACCAGAGATAATGAAAAGCTCTGACATTCCTGATATTCAAAAAGAGAAAAAAACTATTTCACAATAAACCTAATTTGCATGAAATAGCAACATAAAGGAGCTTAAAGCTTTAAAGTGTTTGACTAAACACGGAGATAATGTAGAGGCTTATCTACATAAGTTTCATTCCAGTCAGGTTAAGCCGTAAGAAGAGTAGAAAGGGTTCTACTTAAGTTTCAACATGCACAGCAGATAAAAACTATCCATCAATACCGCTATTGAGTATAAGTGTCTCGATTTAGAATCATGATTTATTTTTGATGCAGAAGCAAATTTTATTTATGTATTTATTTATTTAAATACAGGGTATTGTAGAAGAGATGAAATACTTGTTTGCATCCTTTTAGAGGCTTAGCTTTATTAGGATGAATTTGAGAATACTTTTTCGTAATCACTTTTCCCCACAGGCAGCTAAAATCTGGATGTTGAGCAACACTGTTCTAGTTTTTGTGTTGCAATTATTAATAATATTTCTACCATTTTAAGTCCAGATCTGACTGTGCAGAGTAGCATCATTTCAAGTTTGCCATTCTTAAGTATAAGTTATTAGAAGTAAGGGCCAGAACTGTCTTTCATAGGGAAAGATTCAGCATAACTGTTTTTCTGAAGTTTCATAAACAAGGAACCTTCTTTTTGTAGGTAAATGCTTTAGTCCTAAAAGTTACATAAGGTTTTGATGTCATAATAGTCATCCACTGCAAGATTATAAGATATGGTTAAGGCTTCTTTGTATTGCCTGCAATATTAGCACAGACATCATGTCTCAAATGCTCATTAAACATACCTTGGCAACACTAGATTTTTATAGTACATTAGTTGAGCCAAAAGGACTCACATCTGCATGCCTCAAGCTCTTCAAAATACCCCAAACTGACTTTGTTATAGAAAAACTACCCATCTTTAAACAGTTGCAAATGTTGTTGTTTTTCCCCTCCCCACTATGCATTTACTAATGAGTTTAAAGCACTCAGAATACCTGATGAAAACTCACTATATAGATTTCATGCAACTTTGGCCCTTTTGGAACTGAAGTAATAGTATCTGAAAGGATCTTCAAAAGAATTAAAAAGTTAATCAAGTTTTAAAACTTTGGGGGCTTGAAGGAGAAATCACAGTCCCTCTTTATCTCCAGAATAGCATGCTCCAAGCACTGGCCAATGCAGTGAGCATTTGCAGATTCCACCTTTAAACTGTAAGCTCCTTAGAGCAAGGACAGCATCTGACACCCTCATCACTCATATTACAAAGCCAAACAGTGTTCAAGAGCAAGTATAAGCTTACGTTAGGTCCTTATTAATGTTGGAAAATAAGTGTTCAGAAACTATCCTCAGTATTAACAACTTTATTAGAAGACCACTCAGCAAGAACCACCAATAAATTTAATTAGGTTATCAGTAAGTGTTCTCTTCTAGGGAAGATGATACAAACATTTATTAAGTTGTGGGAGATGGACTGGTCTCTCAAAACAGGAGAAACTTAGAAGTAATTTATACTACTTTTATATTTTAGTTATATAGATTTCATTATACTATATACTAGAGACAACACTGGAATATAAAACAAAAAAACTCCAAAGAAATTTAGAGTATCTTCTGTCCATAGGCCTTGGTCATGTCCCTTACATATAGCTTTTTAAAAAAGATGAAATAACATTGTTTGGAACATATAACTACACATTTGTTGTGGAAGGAAGAACATTTCACAGTTAACCAAATTTAGCAGTTTTAGCACAGGCTGCTAATGCAGTTTCAGGAGAGGAAGAGAGAAGAAAAAAAGGATTGTAAATAGTGTACATACTTTGGGATAATCCAGCTCAAAGAAGGTTTCCAAATTGTTGATCAGATTAGGATCCACACCTTTTAATGGCTTTAGAAGTGAAACACCAGGAGGCTTGCTATATAGTTGTTTGTCTATTGCTTTCTTATTGAGGTAGAGGCGTCTGCAAGGAGAAACAGCATATACCACATATGAAAAATAAGATGAAAAAAGAATTTCATTGAAGAAGTAATAGTCAAACTGGTAACAAAGTCTGAAATTTTTTAAATTATTGCAAGTATGTTAGTTTTGTTTGCAGAAGTGATAGTTATTTTTATACCTGATAGTTGATGCGTCAGAAACCTTGCCTGAAACCCTTAGAATTTTACCCAGGTTAGCTGATTTCAAATTCTCTCTCAAAACTAAATTTCATAATAAAAAGGCACAAGCTTCTTCAAAGCTCATAACAATATCTTGAAAGACTGTGCATTTGACAGTTCATTCCTCCTATTTCCATGAGTCTTTCACGCATTAAGAGGAAAATGTTAAAAGAAAAAAAGGAGTCCAAGTACAACAAATATACATTTGAATTTACTTTTAACCTTTTAAAAATGTGTCAGAGTCCAAATTAAAAGTGATGATCAAAGCATATCAGAATGAATACATGAATAACTAATGGAGGCTGAAGTGTTAGATTATTTTTAGATTATTTTTTATTTTTTAGATTGTTTTATTTTTTTAGATTATTATTTTTTTATTTTTTAGATTATTTTTTATTTAGAGGTGGTGGAGTTGCTCTTTATGTGAGGGAGCAGCTAGAATGTATGGAGCTCTGCCTCGGGGTGGATGAAGAGCAAGTTGAGAGCCTATGGGTAAGGATTAAAGGGCAGGGTAACATGGGTGACACTGTTGTGGGGGTCTACTACAGGCCACCTGACCAGGAGGAAGTCATCGATGAGGCCTTCTACAGACAGCTGGAAGTAGCCTCACAATCACAGGCCCTGGTTCTCATGGGAGACTTCAACCACCCTGACATCTGCTGGGAAGACAGCACAGCTAGGCACAAACAGTCAAAGAGGTTCCTGCAAAGCATTGATGATAATTTCTTGACCCAGGTGGTGGAGACGCCAACGAGGAGAGGTGCAATGCTAGACCT